CACACACACACACACACACACACACACACACACACACACACACACACACACACCCATAGGTCGTCACCCTGGATACACCCACTCAGGTAAGCTTTACACCCTGGCGGCTATGGCCGCCGTCCTCCTGCTCTATCTCTAACCTAGCTATGGATTCACACACGTGAGCCCTCTTCTTCTTCAAGCGCACAGATCCCAAGTTGCCTTAACGCACAAGCAGCAGCAGCGCTTCCGCATCTCGCAACTGAACAAGTGATGAGCCGCTGCACGGTAGCAGCTAAATATAGGACTTGGCTTGGCTTGGCTTGGCCTGCTTCAGACCGGTACCGGTCGGCTGCGGCCTGTCTGCTGCAAACATTTTGTCGATCCGGTAGCTTCCGGACTTTCCTGGGACATGCTGCAAAATTGGACTTGGGATTGTTGGACTGGACTGAACGCTTCTCAACTTTTCTTGTCGGGTACCGGACGGACTCCTACTGACCTGCGACGCTTCGGTATCAACACCTACCGACCTACGACACTTCAATCTCTAGACCCTACGGCCTACCCTACAGGACGGCCCTGGGACCGTGCAATGACTTGCTGGTTTCTGGTCGCCTGTAGACTGTCTCTGTCGAGGCTGTACTATAGGTAGGACAGATTCGTAATTTTGTTTGGCTGACGGCTAACCGAGTGACCTGCCTGTAAGGAAATCCGGTAGGGACATATCTGCAAATGTGTGAAAATGTAGGCCCGTACTAACTGGAATTCCTACAGCTACCCTAACTGCGGATAGCAGGCCCGGGCTACCCCTAGGACAGACAGGCCCTAAGGGCCTAAGCTGATAGACGGTCCTATAGTCTATAGCCCGGTAAGGAGAGGCCCTAGAGGCCGAAACAGAAAATGGTACCGGTCGGTCAGTCAGTCTGGTCTAGGTCAAGTCTAGGCGAGTTTAGACAATAGATAGGATGGGCACATTGGTTCAAGGCTTTTGGCAGTTGGTAGCAGGTACATCGCTGCTGTGTTACGCGTGAACCGGAAGTGGTGACGGCTCAGCGTCGAAGGAGACAGACATAGCCAGACCTTCGGAGTGCCGGCCATAGCTGGGACCTGCGCTGTACTCTGTCAGCACGCGGGGCTGTACAGAGGTCTGGGTTATTGAGGTCTGCTGGAGGCGAGAGAAGTTGGTGCCCTGCTAGACCCTCCTCCGGAGTGGGGTTCGAGGGTTGTGGCGCTGCAGCCATAGCTGCAGCATGTTCCTCAGAGATCATCTTGTCAGGAGTGGTGGTGCTGCTGCAGACTTCCACCCGGGAAGTCTTCCAACACTTCGTCATCATCAGATACTGTGGCGCTGGTCTTGTTCTTCATCCTCTGAGTGGCGCTTGGCCTCAGAGGCCTGTTTCAGGGTGGCGATTCCCTTTGCAGGTTATCTGGGTGGCGCTCGATGTTTCAGGGACTCAGGGGTAGTGATAGCGGTTCATCAGGGTTGGGGAGTGAAGCATTGCTCATCTCTGAGCAGCGCATCATCGTTCTGAGGTTATTCTGACAATTCGAGACTCCGAGTTTCATAAACAGTGTTGATACTGGGTTTGGACTATCATTGCTTCATTTTTTCTTGGATGTGATCTACTCGGCTTTCCTTTATGCCTGGTTGTGAGGATTGACTGGAGTGAATTGCACTTTCAGTGTACCCTGTCATATCGCATGGTCAAGTCTTCCGCTGTGTTTATCTCTCCCTGTGCGATGTGATACTCCTATCCTCTCCCCTTCCTTCTGTGTATGTATGGGCATACCTCATACCTGGGAGTTTATGTGAGTGAGTGTTGGTCTTCAGACAACAGAACCAGAATCATAACAACCGGAACTGGGTGTCTGCAGCATGAATCCTTTCACTCCCGCCGGCCAAATTTTGAGGTCCTCCGAGAAGATCTCAACTTTATTGATCATACACATTCACTCCCCGTCTAGCCCTCTCATAATAGGAGACAATGTGAGGGGTTGTCTGTATTAGTTCTTCCCTGGGGAACCAGTGGTCTTCGCTGGGTTCTTGATAGGCGAATCTGACCTTATATTGTCTTTGTGGTCTCCCTCAGCGACCTGTACGGAAGGTATCCTCAGCAACTATGCGGTCTACATCATAACCTCCATCCATATCCGGTGGGATGATGGAACATCGAGAGGGAAACTGATCGTTGGTAACACAGGGAAGTAACTTAGACGCGTGGAATACTGGGTACATATGCAGGTGGGGTGGAATATCGATCGTGTACGACGGACCATCTGCCTCTCCGTTAACATCTAGGACTGGCCATGGTCCCCTGTATGCAGGTAACAGTTTCTGCGAGATCCCCTCTTCGGGAACGAACTCCTTGGACTTAACCCAGACCAAGTCACCTACAGCAAACTGTGACGGACATCGGTGTTTGTAGGCCTGCTCTACCATCTGATGCTGGGCCTTAAGGATGTTCTTCTTGACCTGCTCTAAGTCTCTCTCATACCGAATGGCAAATTCTCTCGTACAAGGCGGCAATCTGTGAATCTGATCGGGATTCAGGCAGTCGATCGGACATCTATTGCCATCCCTTGTGCAATTCATTCGGTGTACGTGCAGTTGATAGGTACACTGAATTATTATATGTCGATTGCACCTTGGGAAGATGCCCGTCCCAATCAATCTGGCCGAGCCTAATGTACATGTGCAGCACTTGTTGGAGCAGTTTGTTCATCTGCTCAGTTTGGCTGTTGGTTTCCGGGTGTCTACCAGAGGACATGGTCAACTTTGACCCATATACCTTCATCAATTGTTGCCAGTGCTCGCTAACGATTGTCAAAGGGTGTCCGTAGTCTTTGACCCAATGATTGAAAAACTCTCTAATGATGAGTCTAATCACTAGGTCAGTCTTCGCCTCGGCGGGCAGCAGGATAAAAACAGCAAATTTACTAAATCTATCTACTACTACCATCACTTGACTCTTCCCACTGCGGCTCCTGACTTTCGTGTCCATAAGTCGATGGACACCGAGTCCCCGGGACCAAACAGAACAGGCAATGGTCGCAGCAGACCGAGCGGTGGCGGTGTGGAATTTTTGTTCCGTTGACAGACCTGACAACCCTGGATATATGTAATACAGTCGGCCTTCATGTCGATCCAGCTGTACGATCACAATAGATTGGCATAAGTCTTGTGCCAGCCGAAATGCCCTTCGGTGTCGTGGCATTCTCCCAAGATCATACCTTTAATCGTTTCGTCATTAGGGATGCACAGGCGATCAAAATGATCAGTTTTCTCAAACAGTAATCCATCGGTAATTCGATAATCCGGGAGGACCGGGACTGTGTGTGGTGTCTTCTGCACACAGGTTATGAGCTTGCTGTAAATGGGGTCATTAGCATAGGCAGCTTTGATCTGCTACTGCAGTTTTGTGCCTTTATCGAGATAAGTCACGATGGCACCGAAGAAATCCGCATGTCTACTCAGCGACGACGTTGTATTTGCCCTTGACTGGTTTCAACTCGAAGTCAAATTGATCTATCTCCCCAGCCCACCTAGTCGACTTAGGGGTCATCCGGGCCTGGGTTTTCAAGCAGTGTAGGGTCCCGTGGTCAGAGTAGACTTTAAAGTGCCCTCCTAGGAGATAGCGTTGCCAGTGGTTTAGCGCTTTTCTAAAGGTGAACAGCTCGCGCTCATACGTTGACGCAGAGACCTTCTCACTCGGCAACCTACAAAACATGAACTCGACGGGCCGGTATCCCTCTCCATCGTTATGCTGGAGTACAGCGCCAATTCCATATTGGCTTGCATTGGTCGTGACAATGAATGGGAGTGATGGATATGCCACTTTCAAAACTGGGTACTCGATTAGTGATTTCTTCAATTTCTTGAAGGCAGAGGTACAATTTTTGTCTCAATTCCAAATTATTTCTTTCCTCTGCAGTTTGCACAATGCTGCAACCATCATGGTGACACAATTGGCTAAGGCTAGGAACGACCGTAGTTCGGTCAACGAGTGCAGTGTTGGTCGATCCTTGATTGGTGCTATCCTCACGTCTTCCACTCTTTACTCCGTCTCCATCTAACATGTGGCCTAAATATAGCACTTGACACTTCTTCGGGTTCAGCTTGAACTTCGCAGTGCGCAACTTATCTAAAATCAAACACAAATGTTGCTGGTGCTCCTCTAGAGTCTTAGTAAATATCACAATTTCCTCTAAGTAATCGACTACGAATTTATCTAGCCATTCACGAAGAGATCGTTCATGCATCTCTGGAAGGTAGAGGGGGCATTCGTCAGACCAAACGGCATGGCCACAACCTCGTAGTGGCCATAGCGAGTTCTAAAGGTCGTCTTATGCTGGTCTCTGGGTTGTACCTATATCTGGTGGTAGCCTGACTTCAAATCAATC